CCTTTCGGGGGGAATCTGTTCCTTGTCGGCCACTGACTGACATGCGATAAAGTCTCGAGCGAGAGCGCCGTTCCTGAGACCGGCCTCTCTGGCCAAGGTCTCTCGAGAAATATCCAACGGGAGCCCTTGTCGCCGTGTCCGGGCCTCCACGAACTTGCTTGAAATACGAGAAAGTCTCGAGCGAGAGCGCCGTTCCTGAGTTCGGAGGCCTTCTTGGCCAAGGGCTCTCGGAGTAAATCGTGAGGAAGTATCGACCAGGAGCCCTTGTCGTCGTGGCTGGGCCTCCGCCAACTTAATTGAATTGCGAGGAAGTCTCGAGCGAGAGCGCCGTTCCTGAGTTTGGGGGGAGAAATTGGTATTACAATCATTTTAAGACTGTTCGCTCTTACTGGCACGCGTGTCTTGTATTCCGCATACCCCAACCCTCGATACCCGCCCACATCGTCTTCTATTGCGCCCCCGTTCGGGGGGAATCTGTTCCTTGTCGGCCACTGACTGAACTGCGAAAAAATCTCGAGCGAGAGCGCCGTTCCTGAGTTCGGGGGCCTCTCTGGCCAGGGGCTCTCGGAATACCGATGGAGAATATCCAACGGGAGCCCTTGACGCCGTGTCTGGGCCTCTACCAACTTGCCTGAATTACGGGAAGGTCTCGAGCGAAAGCGCCGTTCCTGAGTTCGGGGGCCTTCTTGGCCAAGGGCTCTCGGAGTAAATCGTGAGGAAGTATCGAGCAGGAGTCCTTGTCCTCCTTGCTGGGCCTCCGCCAACTTAATTGAATTGCGAGGAAGTCTCGAGCGAGAGCGCCGTTCCTGAGTTTGGGGGCCTCTCTGGCCAGGGTGTCTCGGGGTAAATTGTGTGGAAGTATCGAGCGGGAGCCGTTGTTGTCGTAGCTGGGCCTCCAAGGGCCCACATTTAGGGTCAAGCCAACGCTCGAGCGGGAGCCTCGCTTTCATAGCAAATGTAGCCGGCGTCGAGGCGAGAGCGCGCGGAAACGCTCCCGAGGATGAATCAAAATTTAGTCTTTAGAAATGGGTGCTACAATCATTTTAAAACTGTTCGCTCTTACTGGCACGCGTGTCTTTCATTCCGTATACCCCAACCCTCGATGCCCGCCCACATCGTCTTCTATTGCACCCCCTTTCGGGGGGAATATGTTCCTTGTCGGCCACTGACTGAAATGCGGAAAAAACTCGAGCGAGAGCGCCGTTCCTGAGTTCGGGGGCCTCTCTGGCCAGGGGCTCTCGGAATACCTATGGATAAATATCCAGCGGGAGCCCTTGTCGCCGTGTCCGGGCCTCCACAAACTTGCCTGAAATAAAAGAATGTCTCGAGCGAGAGCGCCGTTCCTGAGTTCGGAGGCCTTCTTGGCCAAGGGCTCTCGGAGTAAGTCGTGAGGAAGTATCGAGCAGAAATCCTTGTCCTCCTGGCTGGGCCTCCGCCAACTTAACTGAATTGCGAGGAAGTCTCGAGCGAGAGCGCCGTTCCTGAGTTTGGGGGCCTCTTGGGCCAGGGTGTCTCGGGGTAAATTGTGAGGGGGTATCGAGCGGGAGCCGTTGTTGTCGTAGCTGGGCCTCCAAGGGCCCACGCTTAGGTCAAGCCAACGCTCGAGCGGGAGCCTCGTTTTCAGAGCAAATGTAGCCGGCGTCGATGCGAGAGCGCGCGGAACTGTCCCTGGAGATCAACCATGAATATTCTTTTGAAACGAGTACGCAACGATAGCAACAACTACAACAACAACAACAACAGCAACAACACCAACTGAGAATGATCGAAACGCAACACAGGATCGACCTGGGGCCTATGTACCGATGCCGCTCCAGGTGTTGGGAAAGCGCGTGCCCTGAAAAGAAAAAGGGAAACGAAGAGGTGAGGAGAAATAGAGAACCTCTCTCCGGCGTAGAGGTGGCAACCAGACAACGACCCACACTGAAGATAATGTGTGCACGAGGTCCTCCTCCACCACCTCCCAATCTCCATCCACATCCTCCTACTTCTGCGCTGCCCTGACTCTGACCTATGGCCGTAGCGCATACTGGTAGAAAACGCATGAGAACGACGACTCTTTATCGCAGTGGGAAAAGCAATGCGTGCCCGGAGGGCTGTCGCGAGGCCTCGCGTCGTAGAGTCTGGCCCTCTAGGAAGATAGCACCGCCTCCTCGCTCCTCGCTCCTCGCTCCTCGCTCCCCGTTCCCCGCCCCTCGCTCCTCCTCCTCCTCCTCCTCCTCCTCCTCCTCCTCCTGCCTCCTCCTTCTCTCCTTCTCCCCCTCGCTCCTCTCACGGTATTCTCCTCCTCCTCGTTCCTCGCACCACCTCTTCCTGCTTGTTGGAAGCAACACGCATGCCTCAAGGAGCAATGCGCACGATGAATTTGCCGTACGCCGCCGAGGTGAAAAACCCCAAAACCAGCGAAGGCATGCGACGTGGGATGCGCCACGAAAAGCCGTAGTCCTGCAGAAAACATTCGGGGTGAATCACCCACCACGATCATGCCAGGAACATGCCAATGGCTAGCCCTGGGAGCCACAAGTGGAGAATGCATCCAGGAAGCACTCAAACAAGCAAGCAAACAAATGCTGAGTACGAAACGCACATGAGCACATAGCCACTATCACGTGGCATCGCAATACTTGCTGACTGCGACACGCCACGCCGTGGCCGAATAAATGGTGTCCTGCCAAAGCGCTGGAAGGGCCTCCACACCCCCAGCTGCTTCGCAGGCGTGCCTGTAGACTTCCTGGGACCACGTTGCTCGTGGTCGCCCCCTCTTTCTCTGGGTGGGAGGGGGTCGGAGGAGGGAGGAAAAGGGCTGGAACACTGCGCAACGCACAGGGTCGTCACCTGGCTTTCTGGCGATATGACCTAGCCAAAAAAAAACTGTCTACAGAGGGGCGTGCTGCTAAATGTGCGGGCGCCGGCCCGTTGAAGCACGGTGTCGTTCGAGACTCTGCTGATGTATGAATGGGGAATGCGCACCAACTTGCGAAGACATCGCGCCTGGAACGCGACCAGACGGCACAGCTCGTGTTTGAAAAGATACGAAGTTAGCAGACAGTACAACAGCTTATTTAACACGCAAGAATCTATAATCTGAACCTTCTTCTGTTGCGTGAGAGTGGAATGGCTCCATACGCTGGCTAATTTGTCAAATTCTGCCCCTGCAACTCCTAGACGGCGTGACGGCTCTGAACCTATTTTACCGTCGTCGCTAATCAGACTACCCAAATACACCATGCTTCTTTTCTGTGGGATCGGGGTGCCGTCCGGCTGGGGAATGCATACGTCGGCTCCTACAGCCAAGGCTTCCAACTTGCGCCCCCATACGTTGTACGGCATGCGTGTGCGCCTCGGCTGATGCGCCAGAGGTGGCTAGCAAAAGTGCGTCGCCTGCGTATACAAGTTCATTCACATGCATGCTCTTATTCAGATAAGGATCGGCCTCTCTTTTTGCATCGCGCAACAAAGTGGCCATCAATATTGCGAACAATAATGGAGAGAGTGGACATCCCTGACTGATGCCGAATGCTTGTGGATGCTCTACCGATGTGTTTCCAGCGTCGCGGACAGGAAGCACTCGAGGAACCATGATGGATACCATTCCATACCCAGCTTGCCGAAACAGACGAAATCCAGAATTTGCCAGAATACCCGCAGGCGACGTGCCAGCTACATCTCACCTCGGCCATCTGACTGCTGGTCGGAAGTGCCATGCTGTGCGCCAGGAGTCTGCAGAGAAAGAACAGAGAAGGCGCCCCTCCCCAGGGTCAGGGGGCAGCCCCACTGGCGTCCACACCGCCACCGAGAGCGGCCTGACATCATCAGCGGCTCCAGCAGCGGCGGCCGTATGACAAAGGACGCTGAGGAGCGACGGGCCCTGGAACATGAGGAGGAGGAGGAGGAGGAGGAGGAGGAGGAGGAGGAGGAGGAGGAGGAGGAGGAGGCGGGGGAGGAGGAGGAGGAGGGGAGGTGAGGAGGAGGAGAGGAGGGAGGAGGAGGAGGAGGAGGAGGAGGAGGAGGAGGAGGAGGCGGAGGAGGAGGAGGAGGAGGAGGAGGAGGAGGAGGAGGAGGAGGGAGAGGAGGAGGAGGAAGCTCAGCGCGTTGCCCAGGCGCCCCAGCGGGAGCGCGCTCCTCGCGGAAATGAGCGGGGCCGGAGCGGGGAACACCGTCAGCGGCAGCGGCACGCCCAGCGCCAGAGAACACGGCCTCGACCACGGAGTTGAGGCGCTGGGCACGCGGCTGCATGAGGACCGTCGTCTCGGGAAGGTCGACGGAGATCCAGCGGCACGACGACTACAGCACGCAACCGCAGGTGCAGTTGCTCCCCACCTCGTTGACCACGGGGCTCGGCACGCACTCGACTGCGTCGGCGCGCAATGAGAAGGCTTGGCCAGCACACGGCGAAGAGCCTCTCCTCGCCTCAAGCCTGGCACCACGCTGCGCGCAGCTGGGCCGCCGAAGCGCGCTCCACGTCGACGTCCACCGCATCTGCGTGCAGCGCGACGTCACGGCGGAGCACGTCGAGCCACTTCGGCTCCTCCCCGCTGACGAGGGCCAGGATAGCTGGCACAACCGCCCCCAGACGTGGCCCCACCTCCGAGCTCCCTCCGATGAGCGACAGCGCCTCGTCGGCCAGCTGCAGCTGTGCGGAGAGCTTGTCAACCTCGCCACAAAAAGCGATACACGACACGATCAGCAGAAACACGTGCCCGTGACCTCCACGAAGCACGCGACGAACAACCGGCGCCACTGGCAGGGGCGCCTCCTGCAGCCACGGCCTCTCCCAGTTCGGCCGAATCGGCAGCAGGCAGCCCAGAGCACAGAGACGCCGACATGCCCAATTAGCAGTAGAACCATAATGGGAAGAGGAAGCGCCTTGAGCCAAAATGGCTACCGAGCCTCCTCCTCCACCTCCTCCTTCTCCTCCTCCTTTTCCTCCTCCTCCTCGCACCACCTCGCTTCACTTTGGTCCTCCCTCGCTCCTGCCTCCCCACCCCATGCCGCGGCGCCTTCGACGATCGGCCTCGGCGGGGGGCGATGGCGGAGCGGCGAGGGGTGGGTGGGGCGAGAGCAACTGGGCGAGGGAGGGGGGGATGCGGGAGAGGCGGGGGGATGGCTGGATCACAGCCACCGCGTGCGGGATAAAGGGGGGGGGAGAGGAGGACTGAAGGAGGGGAGGGAGGGCGGCAGGGGAAACAAGGAGGAGGGAAAAGAGAGGAGTGGCACCCCGCCTCCTTTTCCTGCTCCTATACTCCTGCTCCTGCTCCTGTTCCTCCTCCCTTTTTTCTGTGATCCCCCTTCTCCTCCTCCTCCTCCTCCTCCTCCTCCTCCTCCTCCTCCTCCTCCTCCTCCTCCTCCTCCTCCTCCTACTTCTCATCTTCCTCCGACTGATTATCCTCTACTTCCTCCTCGTTGCCCCTCGTCAATACGTAGCACCCCGCATTTGCGGATAAGAGTGAGGCGGCGGTCGCGGGGTGGGTTGCGGGCGGGTCGCGGGTGGATCGTGGATGGGTCGCGGATGGATCGCGGGTGGGTCGCGCGTGGGTCGCTGGTGGATCGCGGGTGGGTCGCGGGCGGGTCGCGGGTGGGTCGCCGGTTCGCGAGTGGGACAACGACGACAACAGCAACACCAACAATCACAACAACGACAGCAGCAGCAGCAACAACAGCAACAACAACGACGACGACGACAACGACCGCAACAACAACAACAACAACGACAACAACAGCAACCACAACAATACCAACAACAATAACACCAACAATGACACCAGCACCACCACCACCACCACCACCAACAACTCACAACAACACCACCACCAACAACAACCAAATCAATAAAAATCAAACAACAAATTACACACAACACGCAACACACAACGCACAACAAAAAAACAAACAACAAACAACTAACAACGAACAACAAACAATAATCAACACACAACCAACAACATACAACAACCAACAACCAACAACATCAACAACAACACCAACGCAACGACAGTCTCCACCGCGGAACCCCGCTTCAACCACGCACGCGGGGACAATGAACGACCGTTCGTTCCCATCACTCAACTATCGATATAACTGATAGCGAGGTCACGGCTGAAACTACGATCCGACTTCCATCTCCTGGTCGGCGCCCCCCCCCGCCCCCCTCCTCGCACGTGGCCTGCGCGAACGAGGTCGCGTCGATCAGCGGCGCCAGGCGCGACGCAGCTGCCACCGCACTGTTGGCACAGCGAGCTGCGCTCTCTGAGGAGCGACGGGCGCGCCGCCGTGGATGCTTCGAAGTCGACGGCGCAACAGGGTTGCGGCTACGGGGACACAAAGAGATGAACGCGACGGCAAAGAGCGGCCGCGACGGGCAACAGGACAAGTGTGCATGGGAAGAGGGGGGGGCACAGGGGAAGCCACGAAGGACGAAGGAGAGCATGGCGAGAAACTCAGGGCAAGACCAGAGGTGGGAGAGACTGTCGCTGCCAGCATTACAAAGAAGGCAAGGCTCGGCCTGCTGAAATCGCCTGGTAGTCGCCCAAGCGCCCATGAGTGTGCGCAAGACACTGAAGGCCGCAGTGGGGGACATCGATGCAAGTGTAATCTGAACATCAGGCCACGGGATAGCCGCCGCCCCTTCATTCGAAATCGGGAGCCAACTACACGAACGACGGCAGACGACGACATGCAGCACACCATGATAGAGCGCTTGGTGCAAATCTCGATAAATCTGCCCCTGGATGCGGAGCTTGCGACGATGCACATTACCCCGCAGAGATCGGAGGGCGCGGGAAAGAGCAAGGGTAGCAGCAGCAGCAAATCTAGAGAGCAGAACAGGGGAACAGGCGAGGAGGTCGCATCCCAGGGCACGAGGGAAACCCGTAGCGGCATTCTCCAGAAATTCAGCAAAGGGCGGCTGAGCCAGTAGCTCGGGGTAAGTTTCTGGGCAGCGATTTCGGGGTGGGCTCAGGGCCTCGTCAGCAGCAGCACTGAGAAAAAGGAATCAGGGACTCCCAAACAGTGAGATGCAACGTGGAGGCTCGCATCATCTGGGCAGCATTCAGATCCACTAGGCTGGGCACTCGGGGCCCGCCCCACTTCGCAAGCTGGAGCCACCCCTCTCTGGGGAGAGCGAAGAACGGGGCATGAAACATCGCGGCGAGCAAAACAGATTCCATGTGAGGTGCGGGGAGAGGAAGAGGGAGGAGCTGGCCAGCGTACGAGAGGACGGAGGAGACTCGAGAAGGATATTAAAAAAGCAGCGACACGGATGGGAGCACTAGTCGCGGCCAACTCAAGAGCACGGGATCTCCATTTTGCAATCGGAGCGCGCCAACTGCGATTCTGGACAGCCGGCCCGAGTCACATGCCAAGGTACTTCAGAACGTCGCGGATCGGGATGTCAGACAAGGACGGGGTCACAGAACGAATGGCAGCGGCATAGGAGTCGACCTGATCTTTGCGAGAACGCACCATTGAGCGGGACGATCACACACTTCTTGATTTTGGGCTTCGATGCGGACACCCTTTTGGCAGTGGCGAAGATGCGACGCATCGCGCCGAGGTGTTTCACATCTCTGATGGCAGCGCCAGTGTCATCAGCACAGGCTCCGGCGACCCCGCGGCCCCCGGCGCGGATCGACTGGCCAAAATAAGTCATGAAGGGGTCCGCAGCCAGGGCGAAAACGCAGCCGCTGCTGGGGCAACCCTGGGCGATGCCGCTCATGATCCAGAAGGGGAGATGGATGTCAGAACAGAGCGCGCCGTTGCAGCACGCGCCGCTGAGCCCTCCGCGAAGGTTTTGAGCGGCAGCGGCAGGGGCATCGCATGAATGACTTCGAGGACCCAGCCATGAGTGAGACTGGGGAAGGCCCGGCCGAAATCATATCCCACTAGGCGAGGCATGGCTGCGGGTAGATGTTGCTGCGCAGGGTAAAGACGGCCATGCGCATCAAGCTCCGCGATATTGTTGCCGAAATTCCTTCTGCTCCCAAAGTCGCGCTGGATCGGGCCCGCAATGATGTTGAGCTGCTGGCTCAGCTTTCTGAAGGCTGCCCCCGCGACTACTTTGTCGCCCGTGCTCTCGAAGCCACGGGGGCGCAGGTCAGAAACATGTCTGGTGCATCCATGGAGCGCGTCATCTGGATCATCTCATTCAAGGGTGAAGATACCCAGGAGGCTGTTATATCCTAGAGGCGCCCCCCCCCCCCCCCCCCCCTCAAGCTGCCACCAGAGCACGCCATAAAGGATCTGGGTACCCATCTCGAAGGCCTGCCAAGCATCATAGGGGAGAGTATCAGGACCAGGGCCCGAATGTGCTTGCACGCCAATGCACTCATGGACGCCATGGCGCACGGGGGGGGGGGGGGGGGGGGGGGGGCGCGAGGTCATGCTGAATATGCGCTCTTGAAAGATAGACATCCGCAGCTGCAGCATCAATCACCTTCGGCTCGAAAACCTGACCCCAATACTCCATGATCTTCTGGGGGACTTGCGAGGGAGAGGTGGGGGCGTTTCCGTCAGTGCGCAACCCTACGAGAGTGGCTGAACGCTTAGACGGCGCCCAAAGCCCACTGCGCTCCGCGAGTAGTCGCGCGCGTTGGCGAGCCTTGGCTTGCACCTGCAGGTCCTTCGACTGGAAGCGATCCCGTGCAAGACGCTGGGCCTCCTCAGCATCGACAAGTTGAAGTGCGCCCAGGGCACCAGAAAAGAGAGCAGGGCAGGAGAGGGAGATGCGATTCGTGTTCGGGTCGATCGCTAGGTGCTCTGTGGTGAGCTCATAACGTAAAACACAACGGGCAATAATGAGATCCTGTCTCCGAACCGATCGGGCAATCGAACGAAGAAGAACCAACTTAGTCGATGTCGCATTCGGTTCGTTCCTGAACATAGAACCCCCGGTACATCGCGCAGCCTCTCGCAAGGCTACCTTGCATAGCCGGAGTCGCACGGGAGGGGTCGCGAGGGAGAGGCCCAGGCAGGCCCAAAACTCCGCAAGGAACTTCTGGAAATCAGGGTGCTTGAAGATCGCTTTCGGGATCGGCTGGGAGGGGCGGCTGCAGCGGACGGCGACGCAGAGCAATCTGGAGCGGCGCGTGGCCAAAGATGCCTCTCTGTTCCAGGGTCTCGGGGAGGTCCTCGTCGCTCGCCGAGACGTGCATCTGCGTTGAAACCCAACTGGGGGCGGCCAGAAACACCCTGCCGATTTTGGAGGTATGCTGCTGTGTCCCATTGTAGTGAGTATCTTCATCGGAGGAGAGCTCGAGGCATTGCTGAAGGAGGGTCTTCCACGGGGACCTTGACTGCCGACGCCATGCCGCAAGGGCTCGCGGGGCCTCCAGTGCCCGATGGGGGCGCAGCCTGACGGGGCGCTTCAGCCGCGCGATTGAAATCGGCAGCCAGAACCACCTAGCAACGCTCAGGATGACGACGTGATATGTCAATGCTCTGCTGCATGGCGTGCTTGATGTTCCTGATCTGCCGTGAAGTAAGACCATAATTATGAATGTGGAAGCGCATGGCGTGCGCGTGCTCTGCGGTGTTCTGGGGGCGGCCTAGATCAAGCTCGGCGAGCGGCGCTCTCCCAGGAGAACCTCAGAGGAAACTGACGCACCTGTGCCAGGCTGGGAAGAATGCTTCGGGAAGAACGCCATGACCCCGCCCTTCCTGTTGTTGGGGCCCGCGAACGAGGCCCTGAACTCAAGCCCCGAGTTCGACATGTGGAAAAAATTGTAAACATCATCTGCCGTGCCGTGCGACTCTTGAGTCGCCACCGTGAAACGGCTGAGCAGGCCGCGGAGGCACTTCAGCTTGAGGATCCGGGTGTCTGGGCGGTGATGAAACAGAACTCGGGCGTTCCAGGCGGCGAAGCCCAGCCCGGGCACCGCCGAAGTCCTGGGCGGCCAGATCAAAGACCGCAGCAAGGTGCTAAAGGCACCACTCCTCTGCCCCCAGGCCCCGCGCAAAGAATTGCTCAATGGTGCTGGCGACGGTCTGCTTGCTGAGGCCGAGGAAGTCCAGGGCCCTCTGGTCGCGCTCGATAATGGGGGCCTCGTTCTGGCGCGGCGCGACCTTGAGGAAGGCGCGCCGCTGCGACGAGACCACGCCCGTGTGCCTGTCCACGAAGAAGGGGCGGTCGGTGAACTTCTCAGAGAGAAGCATGTTGATCTCCTTGGGTCCAGCTCTCTGCAGATCTGGGTCAGGATTTTGTCGGCGGAGACGCGGTGCTCGACGTTGGCGCGCTGGGCGGAGAAGGCCGAGAAGCGTCTGAAGGAGCCGTCGCTGTTCTTGATGTTGCTGAGCGCCTGGGGGACCGTGCGAGCAAACCATCCAGGGGCGCCCTTGACTTTGATTGCGAACCGCGCGCCAGCTGGCTCGCCTTCCACCTTCCAGGAGTCAGGCTCGAAGATGGAGACCGTAAGCCATTCTGCGAGGCCTTCGCTAACTGCTTCACGACTGACCAGGGCGGCAGCGCGCGCCCCGAGGATGGCGGGGTGCGTCTTGCGGTGGAACGAGGCACTGGGAGCAGCAGCAGGTGGGTGTTCTTCAGAGCGGACGGCACGTAGAAGGCCGTGTAGCTTCCGAGTCCCTTTCGACATGTCATCCATGCGCTGGTCGTGCGCGTCCAGACGGCGCTCAGTGGCTCCGACCCTGTTCTGGAGCTGCTCGTCCAGGCTGGCGCAGTGCTTCGTGATGTTGGTGGCAAGCGTGGAGAGGCCGCTCTGCATCTGGGTGATGGAGGCCATGACGTCATTCTTGGTAACATCAACGTAGGCACGGCGGGTCTCGATCTCGCCGGGGAGGTCGCTCGCAGTACCAATCATTTCAGCATCATCCTCGGCACTCCAGGCTCGCGGTGCAACTGGCTGTGCATGAACGGGAGCAGAAGCGTCAACGGCAGGAGAAGCGCCATCAGCGGGCGGCGCAGGCGTCGCAGGGGACGCAGAAGCAGCGGAGCCTTTGCCTGTTCTGGCAGAGGGCGTCGCTATGAAATGGCAGGGGGCAGGAAGCCAACTGCGGGGGCAAAGTGCCCGCCTGCACACGACACGCAAGATAGCTCGGATGAGAGCTGCCCGCCCAAAATGGGACCTGTTCCCACTTGAGCCACAATGGCAACGGACTTGAACCAAAATGGCAACGGACCTCCTTCTCTTCCTCCTCCTCCTCCTCCTCCTCCTCCTCCTCCTCCTCCTCCTCCTCCTCCTCCTCCTCCTCCTCCTCCTCCTCCTCCTCCTCCTCCTCCTCCTCCTCCTCCTCCTCCTCCTCCTCCTCCCTCCTCCTCCTCATTCCTCCTCCTCCTCTTCCTTTTTCCTTCTCCTCCTTCATCCTCCGCTCCCCTTTTCATTTCTTCTTCTTACAAGCAACCCCTCCGTGTCGCACCCCCCGGCGTGTCGGCACGGCGGACCAGGCCTGTCGACTGAGACTTCCTCACCGACTCTGGTCCCGAAACTTGAACTGCGCAACTGTTTCGCGGATGGAGTGCGTGCGGGTCGCTTTCAGATGTGACTCTACGGATTCCGCTGTGCACATTCGTCTTACAAGCTTGCAGCAGGTTCACGGATGGAGGCCGAGCAGGTTTCAAACGGTGGCCCTGTCCTTCGCGCCGCGCACCTTTCTGTCACAGCGGCGAGCCTCCTGACCGCGTTCAATGCAGACGTGCGATGCACTTGGACGAATTGGGAACCACGGGCGGCGCGAGGAGGAGGAACGCGCGAGGGGAGGAAGGAACAGGCTCAGATCATGTGGCGAGTACCTCAGGGTGTGCCCAACGCTAGGTGGAAAACTTTGTAGGAGCGGAGCTCGAAGTGAGAGAACCACGATCCAGGGCGCTTCCAGGAAAGGACAACCAGGAAGGTACAAGGGTAGCGACAGCCTCCGCACATGACGTCGCAACACGACATGGGCGACGCCGACCAGCTGCCCAGGGCGGCGGGTCATCCATACCATCTGGTCGAAGCGATGACGGCCAGGGTCAGCAAACACTGGGACTGTAAGAGGCGGACATGGCGAGCCAGAGCGCAAGAAGGCGCAACCCGGGAGGCATCACGCCAGAACGTGAGCGCGGCGAAAAGCAAACCACCAGGTCGTCGAGACATCATCGAAGATCGCGCCGTCAAACTCCTGGCGCCGCACACGGTCGTCTTAGAAGCTTGTACCAACTTTCGGACTGGAGAATCGGATATTTTCAAAATGTGGCTCTCGCCTCATCGCCACGAATGTTCGTCTCAAAAGTTTGCAACAGCTTCACGGTTGGAAGGCGGGTCGTTTTCAAACTGGGGCTCTCGCCTTAGCACCGCGCTCAGTCGTCTTAAGCACATGCAGCACTTCCAAACATGGAAAGCGGTTACTTTTCAAACTGTGTCTCTCGCCGTAGTGCCGTGCACATTCGTCTTTAAACGTTTGCAGCAATTGACAGGACTCCTGTAGTGAAAGCTCCAGGAAATGCACGCTGGCACAATTGAATATTACCAGGGCGCAGCAATCACCTTGATTAGCTGCGTTGATGTTCCAGGAATGACTCTCTGGCACAAGTTAGGAATGTCAGGGCGCAATTGTCACGTTGACCCGCGGCGTTGATAGATCAGGAATGGTGTTTTGGCACGAATGGGGACTCTCAAACGGTTGTCTTTTAACTGGCCACTTCCCGCAATGACAACTAGTTCTTGTAGGGGCATATCAAGAGGAAAATTGGAGGGAGGTGTCATTGCAACATCGGCGATGCGTCTTCGGTTTGCACTGGTACTCCTCCTACGTTTCCTCTGCCTCACCTTCATATTCCCTGGTCGCCTCGATTCCCATCCTCCTCCTCCGCCTCCTCGTCGTCCTCCTCCCACTCCTCATCCCCGAGGACAGGAGAAGCAAAGAAGGCGGAGCAGGCGTGAGGGGGGCTGGAGAGATACGCAAGGCAAGCAAGGCGTGCTCGTGCCATCACACCGCCACGACCCATGCGACCACGCCTGGGCGAGGAGGAGAAGGAAGAGGAGGAGGAGGAGGAGGACGAGGAGGAAGAGGAGGAGGAGAAGAAGGAGGAGGACGAGGACGAGGACGAGGACGAGGATGATGATGAGGAGGAGGAGGAGGAGGAGGAGGAGGAGGAGGAGGAGGAGGAGGAGGAGGAGGAGGAGGAAGCGGCGGATGGGAACGGAGCAGGGAGCAGGCAGACAACTCCCCCCTTGGGAGCGGCCGCTGTTCCAGACAGTCGGCCACCCCTGAGGGAACCGCCCTGAGGGAAGGTTGGTGGGGGAGTCTGCTGGCTTCCGACCAAACTGCGTCGGCCGCGCGGGAGAGACTCGCGGCCGCCTAAGGAGGAGGAGGAGGAGGAGGAGGAGGAGGAGGAGGAGGA